GAGTGTGGGGTGGACAGTGGCCGAGTGTGGGGTGGACAGGGGCCGAGTGTGGGTGGGCGGAGTGGGCAGGAGGAGCTGAACCGGGGGGACTCCTGCTGGTCATCGCCTGTTCCAGAACTCCTCCAAGGCGCGGCTGCGGGCCCTGGAGAGCCTGCATGGCTTTGTGGCCGCTGCCACCAAGGAGCTGATGCGGCTGAGCGAGAAGGAGGAGGAGGAGGTGGGCTTTGACTGGAGCGAGCGCAACGCCAACATGGCCGCCAAAAAGGAAAGCTACTCGGTGAGACTGGGGAGCTCTGCTCCGGGGAGCACGCCTGGACCATGCGGCCGAGGGTCCATCATCTGAGGTCCTGTCTCTGTGCCAGGCCTTGATGCGTGAGCTGGAGCTGAAAGAAAAGAAAATCAAGGAAACACAGAACACGGGAGACAGACTCTTGCGGGAAGACCACCCTGCACGGGCGACTGTGGAGGTGAGTGTGGGGGGCTGCGGAGGTTGGGGGCTTCGGTAGGGGTGAGTGGGGTTTCTGAGTTGTGGCTTGAGCTGCGGTCATGATGGGTGGGGCTTCTGATCTGTGGGCGGGGCCTCAGTGAAGTGGTTAGGTCTAGGGCGGGGCTTATAGAGAAGTGGGTGCGGCTTCTGGTCTGTGGGCGGGGCCACGGTGAAGTGGTTAGGTCTAGGGCGGGGCTTATAGAGAAGTGGGTGCGGCTTCTGGTCTGTGGGCGGGGCCATGGTGCCATGTTCGGGCGGGGCGTATGGGGTGGGTGTGGCTTCTCGTTTGTGGGCGGGGCTGTGGTGGAGTGAGTGTGTAGGGGTTGAGGGCAGGGTTTCTGTGGAAGTGGGTGAGTCCTGAGGGCGTGTACCATGCAGTCCTTCCAGGCGGCGCTGCAGACTCAGTGGAGCTGGATGTTGCAGCTGTGTTGCTGCGTTGAGGCGCACTTGAAGGAGAACACAGCTTACTTCCAGGTGAGAGGCCACCCAGCCACCGTGCACTGTGTCCTGGAGCTAGCTGCAGCCCAAGCCCTGGGCCCAGCTATGTCCCTCGTCCACTCCCTGGTTCTAGCTGTTTCAGAACCTGCTGTCCTGTCACAGGCCTCAGGCCTGACCCGGGCAGCGTCTGGGCCAGTGTTGGAGACAGCACTGGGGAGCTGATGCTGAACCCAGCATGATCGCATCCCACTGCCCCAGTTCTTCTCAGATGTTCGAGCAGCTGAAGAACAGCTGCAGAAACTGCAGGAGACGCTGCGCAGGAAGTACACCTGTGACCGCTCTGTGACGGTGACCCGCCTAGAGGACCTGCTGCAGGACGCGCAGGTGAGGGGGAAGGGCAGACTTTCTTGGAGCGCTGAGCAGGGCAGCCTGGGGCCTGGCTGTCTGTCCTGCCCACACAGTTGTTAGGGAAGGTGAGGGTCTACTGGGGGTGTTGAGGTGGTGGAGTGAGGGGACACACGGCAGGTTTTGGGTGGCAATGGCAGGAGGGGCAGAGGCTGGAGTCTGCTGCTTTGTCAGGCCTTTGTGGTATTTGGGTAGGTCAGGGCAGGGGCTGGGGTGCTCTGGGAGTGTGGGGTGAGGGAGGTAGGCACCTGGGATGGGGCAAGCAGAGCTGACAGTCCCAGAAATGGGTGGTGAGTGATGGTGTCCACATGTTTGGGAGTCAGGCAGGAAAGAAGGGAAGACGTAGTTGGTTCCCCAGTGGTCTCTGGACAGCCTTGGACAGTTTTTGGTGAGGAGCTGCAGTCCCAGCACCTGTTCAGAAGAGGCCAGATGAGAGAATGATACTGGGTCCCAGGCCAGTGTGGATCCCTCCACTGTCCCTGGCCCCAGGTTCCGGGTCTAAGTGCCCAGGAGGGCACACAGAACTCCCCTAGACCCTCTGGGTGTCGGGGTACCTGCTTATTGTTTGGGGTGGGTGAGGAAGTAGCTAGACTGGGGTGTCTACACAAAGGACTCTCCTTTCTCCAAGGACGAGAAGGAGCAGCTACATGAGTACAAAGCTCACCTCTCTGGCCTGGCCAAGAGGGCCAAGGCCATTGTGCAGCTGAAGCCCCGCAGTGCCACCCAGCCAGTGCGGGGCCGTCTGCCACTGCTGGCCGTGTGTGACTACAAACAGGTGGAGGTGAGAGAGAGTGGGCAGGGGTGGGAGCAGGTGGCGCTGGGTGAGCAGAGGTGAAAGCAGGTGGAGGCGAGGGGGAGCAGGTGGAGGTGAGGGGAGCAGGTGGAGGCGAGGGGGAGCAAGCAGGGGTGAAAGCAGGTGGAGGCGAGGGGGAGCAGGTGGAGGTGAGGGGGAGCAGGTGGAGGCGAGGGGAGCAGGTGGAGGTGAGGGGGAGGTGAGGGGGAGCAGGTGGTGTTGGGATGGAAGCAGGTGGAGGTGAGGGGTACAGGTGGAGGTTAGGGGAGGCAAGCAGAGGTGAAAGCAGGTGGAGGCGAGGGGGAGCAAGCAGGGGTGAAAGCAGGCAGAGTGGAGGGGAGCAGGTGGAGGTGAGGGGGAGTAGGCGGAGGCGAGGGGAGCCGGCGGAGGGGAGGGGAGCCGGCGGAGGGGAGGGGAGCAGGCATTGCTGGGGCAGAGCAGGGGCGCACTGTGGTCTCACTGCTATGTTGTCTGGCCGCTAGCTGACTGTGCACAAGGGGGATGAGTGCCAGCTGCTGGGCCCTGCACAGCCAGCGCACTGGGAAGTCCTCAGCAGCACGGGAAGCAAAGCTGCAGTGCCCTCCGTCTGCTTCCTGGTGCCGCCACCCAACCAGGAAGCCCAGGAGGCCGTTGCCAGGTGGGTGCTTAGGGTCCCAGCTGTGGGGAGGGCTGGGTGTTGGCGCTGTGTCTGAACCTTGCTGACCATGTCCGACCCCAGGCTGGAAGCGCAGCACCAGGATCTGGTTGCACGGTGGCACCAGCTGCATGTGGATCTGAAGAGCCTGTTGGCGTGGCAGAGCCTCAGCCGAGACGTGCAGCTCATCCGGTCCTGGTCACTGGTCACAGTACGGTGGTGTGGGGGCGCCTTGTCCACCTCATCTTGTCCCTCGCTGTCCTCACTCCATCCCTCCCCTCCCCTGTGCCCACCCTGTCCCTGAGGGGCCCTGGGGCTGTAGGGCTGTACTACCCGTTCAGCACCCCTGCTGTCCACAGTTCCGCACCCTGAAGCCGGATGAGCAGCGCCAAGCCCTGCGCAGCCTTGAATTGCACTACCAGGCCTTCCTGAGGGACAGCCAGGATGCCGGCGGCTTTGGGCCTGAGGACAGGCTGCAGGCTGAGCGAGAGTATGGCTCCTGCAGCCGCCACTACCAGCAGCTGCTGCAGAGCCTGGAGCAGGGTATGCAGGGCAGCCGGTGGGCATAGGTGGGTGTGAGGCCGAGCGCTGTTGGCCTGACCTTTGTGTGTTCTCCAGGTGAACAAGAAGAGTCACGATGCCAGCGTTGCATCTCTGAGCTCAAGGACATCCGGCTGCAGCTGGAGGCCTGCGAGACGCGCACTGTGCACCGCCTGCGGCTGCCGCTGGACAAGGAGCCAGCCCGCGAGTGTGCCCAGCGCATGGCCGAGCAGCAGGCAGGCGCCCCCAGCCCCAGCCCACCTTTGACCTCACGTCCCAACGCCATTTGCTACTTCTCTCCCCATTTCTATCACATCCTCTCCTTGACTCCTTCCCTCTCGCCTGTGTCCTCCCACCGCGTCTGTCAGTCTCTCTGTTGACCGTCCCATCGTCCTTCCTCCTGAGGAGGGTGGTCGTCATAGGCTCCCTCTCCTTTGTCTTCAGAAAGCACAGGCTGAGGTGGAAGGACTTGGCAAAGGGGTTGCCCGGCTCTCTGCTGAGGCTGAGAAGGTGCTGGCCTTGACTGAGCCCTCGCCAGCTGCCCCTACCCTGCGTTCGGAGTTGGAGCTGACACTGGGCAAATTGGAGCAGGTCCGAAGTCTGTCTGCCATCTACCTGGAGAAGTGAGTACATGTCCCTGGGCTGGGAGTGGGGGTCCTGCCTAGAGGAGGGTGGGGGTCCTGCTTAGAGGAAGGTGGGGGTCTGGCCCAAAGGAGGGTGA